ACATTAGTGCGCATATAATCAGATTGTGTTAGCCAGTATATAAAATATGAAGATGTATATAATAAGGCCCACCATTGTACCTAACAACTAAAAATGCCTTCTTTGCTCTTTAGTCATTCTTTTCTTTCCTACTTACCTTCTTATTCCCTTCGCTGATCTTATTTTCCCTAACCTTTTGTTTTCTTCTTGTAGCTTCTTCACTCTCCTTCTCATTCACAATGAAAGGTTCACTTAAAGTGTAAAATAAAAAATAAAAAAGCCCACTTTAAATTTAAACATTAAAAATTGCCCTTTTATTATTTTTTTGAGATATCACATTTGTTTCAGCTATAAAAGCACTCGTATTTTTTCCCCTTCCTCCCCGATGTGGGATCCATGTATTTCTTCCTCTTCCTCCCCTATGTAGACCCATCCTTTTCCATAAAAGCACTTGTATTGCTTCCTCTTCTTCCCCGATGTGGGACCCATCCGTTTCCACCATCACGCGTTCAGTTAAATGAATAAAATTGGGCCTGATCCACGACATTCACTCAAAACCACTCATTCACGTAATGAAATTGAGCCTAACAAACCCATCGTGTTCACTCAACCCATTCGTATCAAAGCATGGCAAAATAAAATTGCGCCCACCATGAAGCTTAAAGTGGTGAGGGGGGAAATTCAAAGCATGTATTTAGAAAAATAAATAAAAAGCAAATTTAACAACCTTCTCACAAGAAAATATCAAGCTTCTTTTTTTGTTTTTTTTGACAAGGTCACTCAAGACGTTGGGCCATGAAAACCTAGCCTCTACCATCTTGATCGAAGCCAAGCAAAAGAAAATTCAAAAAATATTAACAAAACAATATAACAAAGGAGGGAGTTCCACAAAAAAAAAAAAAAACCCTTAAATCCTTAGATTTATCCAACTTCACAAATAAATAATCCAATAAATTAATTTTCAAAAAGGGAAAAACTAAGAAATAAGTAGGCACGATCCCTTTCTTTTTACAAGCGCACTTTGATAATGAAGATTATAAAAATATTAAAAAAGAATAAAGTTAGGTATATCTATGTTATTGCAGAGTTACATTTTAAATTATATTTTGACTATGAAATAGATGTGTGATCAACAATCACGCAAGGCATGAAATAGGTCCTCAATGTCTACATTTTTTAATAAAATAATAAAAATAGACATTATAATACCCCCAATTTCTTTAAAAACATAAAAAAATAGAATTTTAAAAAATTTTAGTCTTTTTTTTTGGCCAAAACAAGCCAATCCGGATCGTCAATCCACCAATCAAACCCAATTTTAAGGTCGCAGATCCAGATCACCGATCCATTTTCTTAAACCGTGATCTAAACTATACAAGGGAAAGTGCCCAATTCTGGGAGGGACTCGGTCTAATGACCATCCGAAGCTCATTCAATCTAAATCGACAACCAACCAAAAAACCATTATTAATACCTGGTCTCCCTATGAATGGATCCCTAATTGACTTGATAAGAATTACCAAGAAGAATAAATTTGGTAATTCAAGTCAATTTATAATAAAAACAATTATATCTTATTACTTCCCAAAAATTGAATCTTCAAACCATTTTAAAAAGGGCACGGTTTACACAATATTGGAACTTTAAACAATCAAAAGGAGCACCTCCAAAACTTTGTCATAAGATGCAATTGGCATTGAAATTGCATTGAAAATGCATTGAAAATTTTTAAGATGGCAGAAGAATCTATTTTCATTTTTAATTATAAAATTTTAAACTCCAAAAATAGTTCAAAACAAGCAGGCCTATGAACACATGAAAATCTTGAAAATGTAGGATGTAGTTCATGCCTTGTAAAATTTACTATTTTTTGGGATCTAGAATCTTTCTTTCCTCCATATCCAGACAGCTGACGATCAAGTAGAGATGTTTTTTGAACATCAAAACAGCTTTTTATGAGGGATCCTTGAGGTGCACCTTAATTCTATATTTTAAGGTGTCAACCTTATACAAAACTTTCTTCTTATTAAAAATGATGCCCTTCTGAAACTCTTAAGGTATTTGCAAAAAAATCTTTGAAAAACTTTTGTAAAGGGAGTTTTACTGACTTTGGTAAACATTAGAAGAAATAGGCAAAGCTCAACTCATAACAAACCACAAAAAGAAGAGAGATGAACTACAATGCAAAACTGTGGTATCATTCATAAGCCACTTGTGCTTGGATGTCAAGTGCATATTTCCCCATTCTAGCGCATGATGACTGCTTTCAAGAATCCGCAACAGATAACAGCAAGAGAGTGAGAGGCACAATTACAGCAAGTAGCAGATGTTATGCAATCAATATGCATACATGACCAACCGAACCAACCAACATCAGGCAAACCAGATATAGAAGAATGACAACCACAAACACAGAAGAATCAGAACCACCACAGCAGAGTGAGTGACTTGCCACAGCCTACATTCTTCTAAAGCTCACATAACCAACCAACCATAAAGAGTAAGAACCCAGAGAGAGAGAGCCATAGAGGGGAGGATGACAGAGAAATCGAGCATGAAAGTTAGCTAGATCACATAGAAGAAGTCGGAAGTAGTGAGAGAGGGGGGGAGTCAAGGGGAAGCCGGCCAGCCGAAATCGTGGTCGGGGTTATGAGCAGCAAGGTACACCCTCATCTCGACACCATCCCACCCTTCATCCCACTCATCCACCCCATCCCACTCCTCATCCAACTCCCCATCCTCTGAATAAATTGAGGAAGAGTCATAATCATCAGAACAATCATCCTCCAAGTAACTATCATAGCAATTTGGTATCAAAGGCCCCAAAACCCTGAGGCCAGGTCTTCTATCAGTGACTGCACCACCGATCCTCAAATTATGACAACCCCTCACATCCAAATGCTCGAGCTCTTGGCACCCTGCATAAATGGCCCTGAGCCCAGTCTCTGTAAGTTGACCATAGAACATTTCCAAGTGCTTGAGGCGAGGCATTGTAGTGGCTATGGCCATGGCCTCCTCATCATTTCCCGTGTGAGCCTCCCACCCTATTGGGTTCATGTTTCGGCTTAGGCCCACTAGAGACTTGCAGTTCCTGCCTATGGCCTCCAAAGCCTTGCAGCCCATCTTTGAACAGTAGCTTATGTCAAGGGTCGTCAGGCTCGAGAGCTTTGAGGCCATCTCCTCCACAACAGCATCACTCACTTCGCTCACAGGAAGCTTCAGTGTCCTCAGAGACCCACCCCCACTGCCCAAACAACAAATAGAAATCAAATCGGTCCCAAATACTATCCATTGGAACCAGAAAAAAGAAATAAGAAGCCAGAGCAACAAGATCAAGATCAATTACCGTGAGGACCAAATGAGGAAGACAGAGGCCCCAAAAAGCACAACCACTTGTAGAAGGAAAGAGAGAGGAAAACTAACAAAAAGGGAAAAGAAACCAGAGAAAAAGGGAGCCACCCCAGCAATAATATCAATTAGAAAATATGAGAGAGAGACAGAGTGGATGGGGGCAGCTCCCAAAATACACTCAAAACAGATTGGAGATAAAGAAAGACGAAAAGAGAGCACCCTAAAAAACAAATTATCATCTAGAGACAAGAAGCATAGACAAATAGGAAACCAGAACCCTGAAAACACCATCAACTAGGAAAAATATCGCAGAGAGTTAAACAGAGGCCCCAAAACACTATCAATTAGGAAAAGAAACCACAGGGCCCAAAACACTATAAAAAAATTCCATCTTAAAAAAATAAAAATAAAACTCCAATAGCACTATCAGTAAGAGAGGAAAGAACCACAGGGCCCAAACACAATATCAATCAAAAGAAAGAACCACCATATGAAAAATAGAACCCTAAACACAAGAATTTCATGAAAAAAATTACCGAACAAAAAACATTACCTCAAAACACAATGAATTAACCAAAAGCCCAAAGCATACAATCAATCAGATCAACTATAAAAAGCACAGGTAAAGCCGCTCAGTTCACTCACTGTTGCACAATGAAAGCGAAGATTGCATCATCTTGGAGACGAGAAACAGAGAGGTTACAGAGTGCAGCTCCGCCGCGAGAGACAAGCATCTTGACCATGCGCTCCACCTGTTCGGGGTGGGAGCGGTGGCACCACTCTTCTATGTCCACCTCCTGCCAGCACATCGGCCCTGCCACCGCCCTTCGCCACAACTTGCACACCCTGGGCACCACCGACAGCTTCTCCTCCAACCCCACCTTTCCCAATATCACCGCCAATGCATCAGGCACCAGGTCATCCCAGCACCTCATCGCCTCATCATCACTCCCCTCTCCCACCATCTCTCTCACCCGATCTGGTTAAAAGGCAATGCGCATCCCTAACGCTCGCATGTTAAGCAAAACGAGCAAAGTATCAGACAGAAGAGAGGGAGGGGACTGTAGAGAGAAAGAGTTACTGAAACCCTAGAATCTTTTTCTTCTTTTTCACAAAACCTCTGGTACTTGACAGAAGCATTAAGACAAATCAATCAGGTGTGTTTACGAAAATTAAATGCGCAGGAAGAGGGAGATTTCTATGTGGGCTCAAACAATATAGAGAGAGAAAACAAGGGGAGAGGAAAAAAATACAGCGTGAGCAAGAGAGGGGAATGGATAACATGTGGCTAGATCGCTTTAGAAATTTGAGATCTTTGAGGTAGCCAAATGCCCTGAAATGGTGGATGAAGCCGCAAACGGAGTGTCATGGCAACCAATGCGGGCTTCTAACCGACACGTGTGCTTACTAACTGTACGGTTGACCGTATGAAAGTTTCAAAGTAGAGAGAGAGGGGCCGTTGATCCTGTCGCCATTATCGGACTCGATCCAACGCTTCTGCTCTCTTATTGCCCACGTGCGTCATCACAAGGTGGACGTCATGAGTCTATTCGTTTGCACGTGCGAGATACTCATGTAGTTCACGTGTTTGGCAGAGCAAGAGAGGGACAGTGGATGGCGAGAGAGAGAGATTGGGTGCCAGGCGATGTAATGGATTTGTTTGGATTACCTCCATCTCTCCGCTGGTCGTCCAAATTCAAATGCATTTAATTATTAATTTAAGCCAACAACGATTAGTAAATTTTGACTAACAAGGCAGACGTTAATTGTTTCAATCAGTATTTTAAAAAGGGTGAGATTGGTATAAGGTGCACACCTTCTATTGTACAAGTAAGACTCACCTCTAAATTTTGGTGGAAGATGTACTTCTTAGTGTTGAAAACCTTGCAACGTCTTGAAAATCCATGTTTAATACTAATGATAAAATTTAAATTTAAAATTTTAAAAATGGTATAAACTGAGTAGATATATAAAACTTGAAAATTTTAAAAGTAGATTGTTTGGATAACTTATTACAAGATGCATTAGTTTTAGGATTTTGATTTTTTTTTTTTCTTATAGCTATACATCTCAAAATCAAGATGATCAATTGGAAGGTTTTCCAACTCCATAATACTCTTTTCTATTGAATTTTTTAGGTGCACCTTCATTTTATAGAATAAGGTTGAAACAACACATGAACTTGATTGATGTGGCGTGGATCATCAACCCAATTATTCTAACCTAAATCAGCAATCTGGCTTAATCAAATCAACGACTCCTTTTAAGAAAGAGAGATAGAACAAGGAACTAATATAATGTGTAATATTTAACTTTGAAGAACGTATATATTAGGCATTAACATTAGGTCAAAGCTTATATAAGGGTGAGGCTCTAAACTATCAAATTATGGCACACCTAAAAAATTACTAGAAGAGGTTGTTTTGATGCTCAAAAATCCTCAAATCAATCATCTTGACCTCAAGATGTATAAACATGAAGAAAACTAGATTTCAAGTTTTGAAAATAGTTCAACTTGTAATCCATTTTCTAGATGATCAATTTTTAAGATTTTCACGCGTTCATAGATTTACTTGACCTACACTATTTTTGGAGCTTTAAATCTTATAGTTAGAGATGAAAATAAATTTTTAGGCTATCACAAAGATTTCTAATGCTAAAATAACATATTTCGACACAATTTGAAGGCTCGCCTTAGATTGATTGTTTAGGGCCTCAGCCTTATACACACCACACCCATAACATTATAGTATAAAAGTAGGATAAAGTTAACATACGGTTTTAGCCTTATTTGTAGAAACAAGGTCACAATAATCTAAAATGTCCATTTTATTTAGATGGTGAAGATTGGACATTATCTTAAAAGACATGCCATGTATTGACAATGTCTTGAAAAGATGTATCAAATTTATATTATCCAAATAAAATAAATGGTAGAAAGCATCACAACTTTATTTGTACAAATAAGGTTGCACCTTTGTACAATCCACACTCATAAAAGTGAGGTGCGCTTCGAAAATATACGGGAAAAGGTTGTTTGGATGAGGGAAGGTCCACCAATTTGATCATCTTGACCTCGAGATTTATGGCTATTGGAAAAAAAAAAAAGAAAAAAAAGTTCATGTCATAAAAATATTGTATCTTTTAACATATTGTTTAGACTATCTATTTTTAATATTTTTAAGTATTTATAAAAATGCTTGATCTACACCATTTTTTAGCCTTAATCTCATAATTAGGGGATGAGATAAATTTCAGACTATCTTAGGGATTTTTCAAAACTAAAGCTACATCTTTCAGTAAGGTTTAGAGCTGCACCTGGCATTGATTCTTTAAGGATGACACCTTATATAAACCACACCCTTTATCCTTTGTGTTGCTATTTTATAAACTCCAATTATTGCTCGAATATTTGTTGCCTTTCCAAATGACACACTCTAGACAATTAACTGATCCCCACTTTTGTATTACAAAAGGTAAAAGTTACATAATATATTGTTTTTGAATTTCCATTTTGGTCGAGAACCGATAGGGTCAACAACAATGCTCTATCTAAACCATCAAGTTTTTTGAATGTAGGACTAAGGTGATCTAGTACGATGCGCACTAATTTAAAGTTTTTCTATATTTACACCAACTAGAACACTTACAATGGTCATTTACAATTATTTCAACTCAAAAGAAATAAATAAATAAATTAATAAAACGGCCCTCACTCGTTGCCATTAAGGGCAATCAACGTCATTAAACAAAGAGAAGAATACAAGACTAAGAAATAATGGATTGCATGAATCAAAAATAAGAATGCCTGAAGATTATCTCAACTGGTCTTTGAAATACCCCACACTGGATCTCCTCCTCCAATGGTGCATGAGATCCAAAGATCAATCTCGTATCTTAACTTGGAAATCTTTGGCTATCTCCTTACAATATGAGAGCTTAAGAACCATAGATCTTAACCTAGTGGGGCGTGCCACCCATTAAAACCTAATTTAGGAGAGAGAAAATATTTCGAGTATGGTGTGTCCCCTAGAGAGAGTAGAGAGAGAAGAGAGGAGAGATGTGTAGGGAAAAAGGGAGAGGAGGTCTCTATTTATACTGTTTCAGGAAAGCATAGGGTTTTATAGAGCACAAAATTTGATCATCATCTTTTGATCACGGAGACATATGGGGTGAGAGATCTAAGTCATCCATTCATCAGATCAGTTATCTTGATCTAAAAAGAAGGTGCAAGGCCCTTATCCCATCAAATAAGAGGTATGAATAAATATTTTGTAAGTTGTATTTAGTCAACAAATACTTGATTCATTGCATTTAATCAATAAATCTCCTTATTTGTTTCTATCTCTTTAACCAATCAAATCTTTTCAAAATATATCTTTGATTTCAAATAACAACAGTCTCATATCTTAAGGGATATCTTAAACAAAATATGAGATTTGATTTTCAAAAATAAAGATCTTTTTAAAACCAAAATACTCCACAATATGTGGAGTGCTTCAAAGTGGAGTGTGGCCCCCATGGAAAGTGGTGTGCCCTTAGAGAGAGAGAGAGTAGAGAGAGAGAAGAGAGGAGAGATGTACAGAGAAAAAGGGAGAGGAGGTCTCTATTTATAGTGTTTCAGGAGGAGATAGGGTTCTATAGAAATAGGCATCGTAAAATTTGATCTTGATCTTTTGATCTTGGAGACATGCAGCCATCATGATCTCAAAGAATATGGTAGAACCTTTATCCCTTAGTTCCCATACCCTTATCCCATCAAATAGGAGATATGAATAAATATTTGATACATTGTATTTAGTCAACAAATATTTGATTCATTGTATTTAATCAATAAATTTCCATATTTGTTTCTCTCTCTTTAACCAATCAAGTCTTTTCAAAATATATATTTGATTTCAAATAACAACACTCTCATATCTTAAGGGATATCTTAAACAAGATATGAGATTTGAGTTTCAAAAACAAATATCTTTTTAAAACCAAAATACTTCACAATATGTGGAGTTCTTCAAAGTAGGGCGTGGCCCCTATGGAAAGTGGTGTGCACATTTTTTAGCCGATTAAGCAAATCATGTGCACATTTTCTGCGCTCTAGTTCGAGAGATGGAGGTGACTGGCATGCGACCACTCAAACTAATGCAGGTGGTTCACTTGATAAACTCACTACCAAATTCATGGGAGACTTAAACCCGGCAAACAGCTCCAAAGCTGGAGGAGCTCATCATTCTATTCAAAGAGGAGGAAGAAAGAAGGGCTGCACGCAAAGCACCGGCTTCAAGAGAAGCAGTTCATGGGGTAAAATCTAAACCGTTCTTTAAATGCAATAAAGGGAAAAAGAGGAACAAGAATAAGAAGAGAGGAGATAAAAATAATAAAGAGAGAGAATCTACAGGAAGAAAACAAACTAAGACCTTTTTTTTTTGGTAATTCGATGGGGAAGACATGCCCCTACCCATTTTTTCAAGTAGATTAGGAGTTAGCTTTTTGAAGGTATTAGTGGGGTGATGTTCGTGGTGGGAATGGAAACCTGTTTTGTATGCCCTCTCTACCATTCTCTTCTTCTCTCTCTCTCCTCTCGAGTTCGGACACGTTCACTAGGGGCTCGAGTAGCGACTCTTAGAGGGCTTGGCCTATAGAGGGCTTGGCCTATAGAGTGCTTTCTCACCCCTCTTCAAGTCGTTCGGGTATCGAGAAGTTCCCTTCTTCTCTATCTTACCCCTATCTCTTCTCTCTTTCTCTCTTTTCTACCTTTTCCTTTAATCTTCATTTCTACTCGTATTTGCTACTCCGATTCAGACACTTTTGCAAGGGAGTAGTGACCCTTAGACGGCTTGGCGTTTAAAGCCCTTTCTCACCCCCTTCAAGTTGTCTGAATCGTGAGAGGTCATTTCCTTTTCTCTCCTCTATTTCTTCTCGCTTCCTCTCCTCTCTTCTCCTCTCACCTTATCTCATCTTCTTCCTCTACCTCTTTTTTGGTTACTATTTAGGAGGCTTTTTGGGTAATGATTTCTCGTCGGGCTAGACCCACAGACTCCACTACTTTAAATCCTCCAGGATACTTTGGCTTTAAGCCTAGTACCTTTCTCGTCTCCGGTAGTACCTCTTAGAAGAGGTTACGCCGGAAGGCTACTCGATTTTTTGGTCGACCTTCTACTTTCTCTTCTCTACTTTATTATCTCTTTTCTCTTCTCTCAACCCCTCTAAACCTTAGACTAGATCCCCAATCTACCATAAACTAAGAATAGGAGGAAATCCCAAGAGGTAAACCCTAAATCCATTCGATGTGTGGATTCAAGGTCGTGCAAGGACATGAGGGAGTCAAATTCAAACTG